AGACAAGTCAAAAGCAGAAGAAAAACAACACTAAGAGAAGGCACAGAGTCAGTATTACCAACCCAGACAGAATGACAACTTAACAACAAGAAGGATGGAAATTTAATAAAGAACGTACAAAAGGAAAAAGGAATAGGAAAAGAATAGCTTAACAAAGGCAAAGGAGAGTTAACATTTTGGGAGTGGTGTAGAGATTTGACGGTGTAAAGCAGAGCTAACAAGTGTCAGTCAGCATTTTTATTTCTCGTCTTCTTCCCCACTCCGGCTTGCTTCCCTCACTCTTGGCTAAGGTCCTACAATACTCCTCCTTCTGAACTCACCCACCAAGCAAGGTGTCACTGTTGCCCAGACTATAAGTTGGATCGCGCCTCAGGGCCGGTCAACAGTCCGTAGCCTGGTCTCGGTCTGTGCGGATCTCCCTGATAAACCTGTGAACCCCTACTCTCTCTCTCGTCACTTACCCGTCCTAATCACTTATAGTGCCCTACACTACAAAAGCATGAAAAAACAACAACTTAGCAGTACTTATTAGCTTCAGATGAAGAACTATGTTGATTATGTTTACTGATGCTTTTGCGGGTTTCGAGTAAAATGTATCTGAAAGCCTTTTCCTTTCAAACCAAGGAAAGCCATGTAAAATGGTTTATCTGAGTTGCTAATGGTTAGGTATTCCTTTGGGTTATCTTCAATAACCTTTAGGAATCTCCTAGGAAGGTGAGCATAAAATACTTCAGTCTCATTCTCTTGTAGCTGAACTCTGATTGTTTTGCTGTTTTGGGTTGTACCGATTTCAAACATTTATAGTAATGTTTCTCAGGCAAATCATTAATTGATCGAAAATCTTGTAGATTTTCATTCGCTTTGTTTAGCTTATTCGCCTCATCAGAAGAATCCTACCCAGAGAAAAAAAAATATGGTTAGAAAATGCTAGTGCTTAAGCAAATGTATTTCTTTTTTTATATGTTGAAGAACGCTTACCTTATTTTCTGTGTCCTTATGTTTTTCTTTGTCTGTATCTTTGTTCTTTGTTGGCTTTTCCTTTGTGGCACTTGTTAGAGGCGTAATTTCTTCTATTTCCTCTGTTGTTATATCTTTTGGCGTATCATTTGGGCACAAACCCGTTATAGATGTACTCTTTTCAGCCTGCAAATAAAAATATTTAGTGACTTGGTAATTTTGTGCTAAAGCGTGTTTATAGAGGTGTTACCAGTACCGTATCATTTCCTTTGTCATCTTTGTTGGGTTTCTTCGCTTTCTTCAACTGCTTGGTTTTGTAACGGCATTACATCTCCGCCTGACAAACCGGATACTGATGTTGTTTTGTCAGCCTGGAAATCTTTTATTAGTGGTGTGAAAATGATTTTGAATTCGAAACTATGGTTGAGTACTGACAGTTTGAATTGTCTCTGTTTCCTTGTCCACTTTTTTGTTCTTGTCCTGCTTTTTCTTTCCTCTTTTCTTGGTTGGTTTTGTGTCTTGTTTGGATGTCGACTGTAAATGAATATCATAATTGAAGCGCAATTTAAGGTATTGCATTCACTGGAAACGTAATGGTCGGACACATAGCCAAATTATGGCGTGACAAGAAGAAAATTAGCCGTTGCAGACACGCGGTGTGAAAATAACGCCATATATTATTATATATGTTAAGGGAAATGTCCGGATCCCGGCGACTCCTAAGATTTACCGGTAAATGTTAGGAGTAACCTACCCAACCCGGGAAATGTCGGGTTCTCCTATCATTTACCGGGAAGTGTTGCGGAAATCGACATTTACCGGTCGGCTGCGGGAAATGTTGAGTGAGGAGGTTGGATGGAGAGGGAATTTTTTTATTCAACATGTTCTACTTTTTCTTCGAGGCATTTAGACTGAAAATTTCGAATTTTGGGAGTAGCGCGCCGGGATCGGTTGCTGTAGCGGCGACCCAATAATAGACACCTTGACCTAGACACCATAACCAACCTCCACACTCAACATTTCCCGCAGCCGACCGGGAAATGTCGATTTACCGCAACATTTCCCGGTAAATGATAGGAGAACCTGGCTCGGACAGACATTTCCCGGGTTGGGTAGGTTACTCCTATCATTTACCGGTAAATCTTAGGAGTCGCCGGGATCCGGACATTTCCCTTAACACGTACTCCACTCCTGTGGTAACAGTAAATCCCGTACAAAGTACAGTAGATCCTGTAAAAAAGGACGGTAAATCCTGTACTCTGAACTACAGCGACAGCTGTACTTATCACTACAGGATTTACTGTGATTTTTTCCCTCAGTGCGGAGCGCGTTCGCGAGCGACAGCGAGCGGACGCGCGTAGCGCAACTCAGTAGCCTGCCGAAACACGCAGGGTGACCGCAGGATTGTCTAGAAAAAATTCCCGGTTATTTCCCGGTTTTTTTCCGGTGATTTTACCGAGTTTTTCCGGGTCCAGGCGATTATTTTAGGGGGATCATATCCGATTTTAAAAGGTACAGATCGCCCGGAATTCAAAAATCAAAGCATCAATGTGCTTATGGTTAAGGTTACTGTAAGGTGAAAAAACTATCTTCCAAAGTATAGGTGGCAGTGCTTTGGTTTTTGGTGATTTAGTTGCTTACTATAAAAAACTTTTACAGCCACAGACTGGACTCCCAACTCCCATTAGTTCCAAAGTTATGAGGGTTTTAGTGTTATTTTAGTCGTTTACTAAAAATTCTCCTTGCGATGAACCAAAAAGTTTACGGAGGTGTGACTTTTTATTTTAAGGCTTAATGGACATGCAAACAGACTAGCAAAGCCGGATTTGACAATATATGCATAGATAAGCTGTAATTACTGTTTGGAAAATGCGTTTTGAATTTTTTACTTAAATTTGGTAAAATTTTGGTATTTTTTGGTGTTTTTTTGAGTTTTTTGATAAAAATTCCTGTTTCATGTTGGAATTTTGGAAATCCGGCTTTGCTACGAGATAGGCAAATCAATAAAGAACTTGTAAAACAAAAATCAAGTCTCGACAACTTTTGGTTCATCGCAAGGAGAATTTTTAGGAAACGACTAAATTTGTTACGTAAACTGCAATAACTCAGGAAATAATGGGAGTTGAGTGCCTCAACTTTGGGTTTAAGTTCATCTTATAGTAAGCAACCTGAAACCTAAATACAAACATGATGCCACAATTATTTTGGAAAATGATATTTCACATTTTTTCACTTTACAGTAACCTTAAGACAATAGTAGCCGCAACAGCGTGGTAAGTGTTGAGAGGTGCCTTAAAGATGGAACATGTGTAGGTACAAAACAGTAAAAAGTAAAAATGCCGAAGAATACATTTATTTGAGAACAAACTCAACAAAACATGGGTAACACTAGTCAAAAAATAAAACTTTGTGAAGGAACACAAAACAAAACAAAATGATACAGGACTCACGAAAGTAAAGCTGAAAACATATTTCAAGACATGTTTTCAATCTGCTCGTCAATTAACTCTGCCTCCTTCTGGGCATCTGCAAGCAATTTAGCTTTTTTCATTGCAAGCTCCTTAGCTAGACGGGTCGCCTCCCGCTTCCGTTTGATTTCTTTCTCCGCCTCAGTCGCTTTGTCTCTCTGCAAACGTAGGTGCTCTTCGTATCTGGACCTCGCGTTGCGTGCGTACTGAATCATGGACTTATTTATGGGTACCTTTGTAACCCCACCAGCTTGCTGAATGGCATCATGCACTATCCGAAGAGACACCAAGCTGACCTCCTTCTGATTTACAGTGACGCACTCCTTGTTCACGGAGAAACCCCGCTCCAAACTGGCATTGCCGTAAGACAGAACAAGGATCTTCTTCACAAGTACTAGAAGATCGGAGAGATCTCTGCCTGCGCCCGAAATGAGGCCAACCCAGAAGTCATCGAGACGAACGTCTTTTCTTCTATATTGAGAAAAGAGTGCCTTTGATGAGGGAAGATCACACAACATGGAGTACTGCTCCTTTATTTTGTCAGCCAAGGGACCAGAAATGTGTTCCTAATGTGTCACTAAGGTTTCCAAACAAAATTCAAGTCTTTTCACTGCCACTTTTTTATTCTTGGCCAGAACTTCAGGATTAAGGCATGATATGTACATTGCAAAAGGATAAGTAAGAGGACTCCGCTCGAACGTTTTCTTCAAAAACAAACAGTAGTAAGTTCTGCAATCTTGTCTGAAGAGAAGTACGTCCTTGTCGGGTATACTGCCTCTGGCACTGATCTCATTATTAATTGCTTTCTTGGCAGAAGAGCCTATGCTCACTTTGGCAGCGGGAATGAGATTCTCACCAGAAAGTTCAATTTCATGCAAGGACTTGTCCGCCACTGTCATGCTTTCAGGTGTCACCACTTTCTGCATGATAGACTTCACTACTCCAACGAGGTCGTCGAAAAGGAATGGAGCCATGGGTTCATCCGTCTGGTATGGTTTCAGGAAATTGTCTTCAAGATTTGAAGCAACGGACTTGAAGAAACTTAGTTTCGCACCAAGCAGCCTATCCTTTAGACATTTTGAGATAATCTTAAAAGGAGTAGAATTGGAGACAGTTGGGAAGCTTCTCCTATAATCAGGATGACGCCTAGACAGCTTTTTGGGCATCTGATTGTCCACAGCCTTAACATAAACATGAAGAGACTCAAGCATTTCAAGTGCGCGTTGTGCCACAATTTTATTTTCAACCCATCTCACCGCACAAAATTTAAGAGGAAAAACTGCGGACCCCGTGACAGCAGTATACTCTGCACGTCTGAGAGGAACATGTTTAAACATACGATACAAGGAAGAAAGAAAATTGTTAATAGGGTACTTCGGAGAAAACGCAGACCGGAAGTCAGCGACAGGACGGGAGAAACAAAAGGGCGTCGGGAGGCCGTGCTGAGCGGTGGTGGGGGTCGAAATCGGCGGAGTGGGGATGAAGGCGGCGCGCGCACGCTGCCCCCCACCCCACGGATTTCGGTAGGGCACCTGAAAGAATTTAGGAGCCAAGTGACGTCACCGATTTCGACCGTTTTTTGTTGGTTCGGGGTCCGGGCGAGTTTTCCATAATACCGTTGCTTGGCGCAAAACCGTAGTGCATTTAAATTTTACGCAAGACATCATGAGTTCAAGAAAGGCGAAAGATGATGTGTTTTGCCACTGCCGGGGACCAGAAGACGGGTAGGGATCATTTTTATTCGCTCGTGCTACTGAATTTCACTTGCCTAGGTTATGCCCTTTATTCAAGGAAATTGCCGATGGGTCTTGGCTGGGCCTGGCTGAGGGTTTGCCCGCATTTTATGTCCTGTTCCTTAAATTAAATCAATTTTGCATTATTGTAGTCGACTGGGGATAGTGTTTCATCCTAATTTTATATTTTTTGGTTCTAGTTTCATGATTGAGTGTGAATCGTGTAAAGAATGGTTCCATGGAACATGTGTAGGAGTTGAGAACCAAACCGAAGGTATGCTCATATCAAATTTTATTTTTCACCGACAAATGACAAGTCTGTTACAACTAATATTTTTTCCCCCTTTTTACAGCAAATAATTTCATACATTGGTCATGTTTTGTTTGCGTGAGGGTAAACAATGCAGTCACCCAAACTAATGGTACTAATGATTCCGTTCCGTTCCGGCTGCGGTCGGGTGCGGAGCAGCGTGACAGGCCGGGTGCGGCCTTGGCCAACATCCCCCGCCTGACGCAGTGACGTGCCGTGTTGTGTTTTGCGTGTTGTGATCCCCCTCTGGGGGCCCCTGGTCCCCGCCACCTCTGCCAGTGCCTAGGACTTTAGTGCCCCCTGCCGCCCAGTTTGTTGTGCTCCGTTCCGCCGCGCGTGGCCGCGCGCCGCCATGGCCGCGCTACGTAAACAAACAGTGACGTTGGAAGTGGAGCGGGACGCCGCCCAGTTCCCCAGTGCCGTGGAAGTGGTGAAGCTGTTGAAGAGTGAGTTTGGAGTGGAGTTGAAGGATGTGCGAAGTGTGGAGAGAGAATTTGGAAGCAGGAAAGTGTTTGTGAAGGTTGCGAGTGATGAAGTTTTTGGAAGAGTGACGGCGGGCGTGCTGGACGCTGCGCTGGGCCCCGACGGCGCCGCCGTCAAAGTCAGTGTCTCCACGTCCGGGCTGGGGCTCAAGCTGCTGCGAGTGAGGAACCTGCCGACGGAGCTGCCAGCGAGCGAGGTGAAGAAGGTGCTGAGTGAGTACGGGAGAGTGTTGGACATGAGGTTTGAGGTTTACGGAGAGAAGTCGGGTTTGGCGGGAATCATGACGGGAGTGAGGCTTGTGCAAATGGAACCGGAGCGGCACGTGCCGAATTTTGTGAGGCTGGGAGAATGTGTGGCATATGTGGAGTACTCTGGGCAGCCGAAGACATGCAGCGTGTGCGCGTCCACCACGCACTTGCGGGCCGCGTGCGACCAGCGCGGCACGTAAGGGAGTATGGGGCGATTTGTAACAGATTTTGGAATTCTCTATACAAAATTAAGAACATTCTGCATATCGGTGTCAAACTTGTGCCAGTTGAATAGTCTGGCCCTTCATCTAGACTGTGCAGCTCCGTTGGATCAATCTGGAGTCCGTAATCTTTGAAATCTAAGACGCTTTCCAAACCCTTGCATGCTGTTACGAATCGCCCCAGCATGGGGTGATTTGTAACAGCCATGGGGCTTTTCATAACAGCCTACACATTAAATGAAACATCGTCGGGAATGTTATCTCCTCCAGCAGTTGTTCTTCGGATGTCCTACAGACGCCTTAAAATCTACATTACAAGCTGCCCTTGACCGCCTCAGCATAAACTGACCGGCTATGTCAACCCTAACCTCACTTTTTTCAATTTTGGAGGAAATAATAGAATAACTCGCTTTAAAATGCATTTTGAACTGTGTAAATGTATTGGAATTAGGCAGCAGATGATTAGAGAAATAATTCAAGCATTTAATTGCAAAAATTACTTAAATTCTTGTTTTTATACGGGTCTGTTACGAATCACCCCAATTGCCGGCTACGCAAGAAATACGTCCCTAACTATCACTGGACAAAGTAAAAGCACCTTTTGCCACGTGGTTACATTGTAAAGGGGTCACGCTTCAAGGCCCCAACAGTACTTCGATGGTGATTCATACCTGGGGAGCCTCAGACAGAAACTTCCTAGAACTCAAAATAAAAGATTTACCTGTTTTCGGTGTACCCTAAATTTCAGACGCCCTCCAAAACTATACCTGAGCACCGATCACATCCGCTTTAATTGTAGAAGGACCCTGTACTTGAAGCGAAAGAGGGGCCATACTCAGATTTTCCTCTGCTCCCTCCACTTAAATTAATAAACGCATGTGTTACGAATCGCCCCTGTTACAAATCGCCCCATACTCCCTTACGCCAACCGGCTGCGTGCGCCCCGCGACGAGAGGAGGCAAGCAGACGACGCGGCGCGCCGAGCGGCGGCGGGGGGTATCGACGGCACTGAGCAGAGGGACCAGGGGGAGGGGGGCAGCAAAGACAGCAGAACGAAGTCTCCGTCGCGGCGCGTGGACAACCCGTACGCCAAGATCGTGAGCCCGACCAGAGAGACTCCACGCGACAGTGTGGTGACGGGCAGCGGACCTACACCGCAAGTCAAGCCGGCGGCGGCTGCGTCCGAGGCGAGCGGCGAGCAGCCGTCTCTCTCCAACAAGCCGAGGAACTTCCTGTTCAATGCGGAGCTATTGGCGGACGAGTGGCAGTTCCCGGCCGCGGACCCCATCGTGATCCCCGAGACCACGGACGACGCCGACGCCGAGGACCTCGAGACCGTCCTGACCCCCACCACCGAGGCCGCGATGGACGCGCAGGACAGCTGGGAGACGGCGCGAAGCACTAGGACCACCAGGAGGAACGCGGCGAAGATCAGCCTCTCTGACGGCAGCAGGATGCCGCTCACGTCGGTCCAGAAGTGGGCCAAGGTCAAGGCCCAGGTGGAGCAGGGCCGCCCGCTCTCGGGCCCCTTCAAGCGCTCTCTCTCCAACTTGGGCGACGGCGGCAAGCAGTCCACCAAGGCGGGGATGGACAACAAGACCAAGAAGCACGCCCCCTCAACATCGTCATCAAAATGAACATGACTGTCTTAACTGTTAACCTCTGTGCAGCCACGTCGCCGGCGAAGTGGGAGGCGCTGCGCAGCTTGTTGGTGGACAGAAAGGTCGCCGTCGCCCTGCTGCAGGAGGTCGCTGTCACCGCCCTGGACGTGCCCGGGTACACCGCGATGCTCAACACCGGGGAGGCGCGCCGCGGCACCGCCATCCTGGTACGCGACGGACTCGTCCTGACGCCGCTGCTGGCCCTGCCGAGCGGGCGAGGGTGCGCCGCCAAGGTAGGCAACCAGGCCTACGTCTGTGTGTACGCGCCAGCGGGAAGCAGGCGGCGGCAGGAGCGTGCCGCGTTCTTCGCCGAGGACGTCGCCCAGCTCCTCGCGGCCGCGGGGCCCGGTGCGGTGGGTAATTCTTTCCCAAGTCACCCGAGGTCCCGAAATCGATGTCTCCGATTTCGACGAAACTTTGTGGGTATGTTCCCTATGGAGCAAAGAGCTCCAGAAAAAATTTTCAACTTTTTTGGTCGGCCCAAAAAATTTTAATCACGTATTTTGTAAAAAACACTGAAACCTGCACTAAAAATTTGTTTGTTGCCTGAGGGCGACCTGCCCGGTGGATTTTTTTCTTTTCATGGTACTGAAAAAAAAGTCCCCGAGAGCCACTTTAAAAGTCACTTGTTCCAGGAGATATGGACCAAAAAATTCGTTTTTCGCGAATACCCAAAAAATGCATCCGAATTTTTTGATGATAATTTTTTTTAGGAAGGTCCTGTGGTGGTCTATCACCCTTATTGGTTTTGGGTTTGGCCAATGGAAAACCGAATAAAAATTGCGTTTTTTTCGTTTTTTCCGCAGTTTTTGGCCCATAGTATCGCCATTTTAAGTCTGACTTAATGAGCGCCATTAGACCTTTTTTTCGCCTTTTCAAGACGAATCGATTGATATAAGTTGAAGTCAAATCGGAGTATTTTGAAAAATTGCCCTTTTTACGATCGGGAACCAACTAATCTAGATGCGTAAAAAAGGCGATTTTTCAAAATACTCCGATTTGACTTCAACTTATATCAATCGATTCGTCTTGAAAAGGCGAAAAAAAAGTCTAATGGCGCTCATTAAGTCAGACTTAAAATGGCGATACTATGGGCCAAAAACTGCGGAAAAAACGGAAAAAACGCAATTTTTATTCGGTTTTCCATTGGCCAAACCCAAAACCAATAAGGGTGATAGACCACCACAGGACCTTCCTAAAAAAAAATTATCATCAAAAAATTCGGATGCATTTTTTGGGTATTCGCGAAAAACGAATTTTTTGGTCCATATCTCCTGGAACAAATGACTTTTAAAGTGGCTCTCGGGGACTTTTTTTTTCAGTACCATGAAAAGAAAAAAATCCACCGGGCAGGTCGCCCTCAGGCAACAAACAAATTTTTAGTGCAGGTTTCAGTGTTTTTTACAAAATACGTGATTAAAATTTTTTGGGCCGACCAAAAAAGTTGAAAATTTTTTCTGGAGCTCTTTGCTCCATAGGAAACACACCCACAAAGTTTCGTCGGAATCGGAGACATCGATTTCGGGACCTCGGGTGACTTGGGAAAGAATTACCCCGGTGCTCGGCGGGGATTTCAACTGCGTGCTGAGTGACAGAGACACGACGGGCAGCACGATGAAGTGCCCCGAGCTGGCGCAGCTGTTGCAGGGTGTTGGACTCGAGGACGTGTGGCCCCGGGCCTCCCCCCGGCCGGGTCACACGTTCGCCACGGCGGCCATGTCGGCCAGGCTCGACCGTGTGTACGCCCCGCCGCAGCTCGCCGTGCACGCCGCGGAGGCCGTGGCGGTGGCCTTCAGTGATCACAGTGCAGTGTCAGTGACTTTCAGTGGAGTGGTCGCACCGCGGCCGCCGAGGCCGCCCTCAGCGTGGCGCTTCGACAGCAGGATCCTGCGAGACCCGGCGTACCTGCCCAGCCTGCGCGACGAGTGGGCGCGGTGCGTGGCGGCGCGGGGTGACGCCGACGTCATCGAGTGGTGGCTGCAGGTCGCCAAGCCCGCCATCCGCCGACACGCTGCCAAGTTCACCAGGGAGTGGCGGAGGGACTGCAGGGGCAAGCTTGCGTTTCTCTATGAGTTGCTGCAGGAGCTGGTGTCCGCGTCGCCGCGCCCCGCCGGCCACGCCGAGCTCATTAAGGAGGCCAAGGAGGAGATCCTGCACGTGCACGCCGTCATGCTGGAGGGCGTCAAGGCGCGCGCCGCACTCGATGACGTATCGGGACGAGCCGGTCTCCGCGGTTTCACGTGGGGCGCGCGCCCCGGGGCGCTCGCCAGCAGGCATCCAGCGCTCGA